GAGAGGTAGAGGTAGAGGGAGAGGGAGAGGGAGAGGGAGAGAGAGAGAGAGAGAGAGAGAGAGAGAGAGAGAGCGAGAGAGAGTTTTAGTAAGAGTTTTACGACACTTGCAACACAATAAGGTCATATAAAGGCCGAAGATTAGGGGTGTTACAAGTGAGTAACAAACACAAAGAAGGAGGAGAGACAAGGACGACAGATGTTTGATAGGAAAGAAGGAGCAGACCACACCATAGAAAAGCACCCGCAAACCACCCAGAGAGAGAGAGAGAGAGAGAGAGAGAGAGAGAGAGAGAGAGAGAGGAAATCAATGGCAAAGATCAACAAATTGTGAATTTATGTTACAATATCATTCTTTTAATAAAATCTATTTTTGTTTCCTACACTCGCACATTCGTTATTGTAATATTTCAAACTTTATACTTTTTTGTCATCATTTTTTAAAGTAAAAAATATATAGTTTTTACCATTTTTACTGGAGAGCCAAAGAACTGAATGTTTTTACCGAGAAAACATCATAATTTGCTTTAAAGATCATTAAGACAGTGTAATCAAAATTGTATTCTTTAAAATATTGTCTTGGGATGTTTGCAAATAGTTTGTTTTCTTAGTAACAATATTCAGTTGTTTCGCTCTCCTGTAAAAAAAAAAGGTGTGATTTTTTGGTTTGTTTTCTGGTATGTGTTTTACGGCGCTCACTACTGCATAAGGTCATATGAGCGAGCGGGACACACGAAACATTTTTAGTTGGAAGGAAATTTTGAATTTTACGCGATTGGTGGCTGAAGCCTACTCTTATCGATTTTAAATCACCAAGTGATCTTTAACGTGCTCAACTTGCCCTCGGGACAACCGAGATTTTTCGTCCTTGTCCTAGAAGGCTAGGTGTAGATCTTTCCTACCAGAAGATCAGGTGTGTGGCTGAAAGACAGCAGTAAGAAGTAGCCAAGGAGTAGTAGTAGAAAGGCTACAGAAACAGTGGCTAAAGAGGTGAGAGGGGGTGGGGCAGAAAGAGGAGACGAAAGCATACGTCAGAACACTGTTAGAGAGCAGGAAAAAGAGGTGAAAAAGACAATTTTAGGGAAGAAAATGTTTCGGTCAGTACCCCGATTCGAATCCGGGACCTTTGAATGAGAAGCAAACACCTTAACCTCTAGGCCACGAGAGCCCCGTGATTCTCATTGTGTGTTTTTTTATAATTTATATCTTAAAGCAGTTGTTTCGAAGAACTTTCAAGGTGGGTTTGTACCATGTTGGAATGCATCGTTTGACAAGAAACGCACATTTAGTCGGCAAGAAGCAGCAAGATACAGGGTGATTAAAAAAAACCTGTGCAACGTTTTTTCTAAATATCTCGCACAAAATAAAGTTCACAAAGAAAAAACTTATTTTTTCGAAAACCGAAATGATAACACGTAACAACACAACAATAATAATAACAAAGAAACAACTACAACAAAAACAGTAACAACAACATCAAAAACAACAACAACAACAACAACAACAACATATTTATAATTTTGTTTTCGGACAGTTTCCCATTACTATCTTGTCTTTTGTCCTGTTTTTTTGGTCACCGGGTCGATTCACACTTCCCCCAACCGGCGTCCGTGGTGTAGCGGTTAGGTGCGTCACTGTCGCACGCAGGAGATTCCAGTTCGATTTTCGTGGGGGCGAGAAAAATTTGTGTCAGGTGTCTCGGTCTTTCTGCTGGGATATAACATTCCTCTCAGTCCAGGTTGGCACTGATAGGCAGGGTAAAAAACTCGCCTCCTAAATTATACAAATTGTGTCAATGAAAGCGTAAAACGCCTCTGTTTTAGTACAGTTTTTTTTACAGCGCTCGCAACTGCATAAGGTCATATGATCGCCAAGAGGTAGATGTCATCAAATAAGCCTTTACAGGGAATCAGGTTTACTCTGCTCACCTCTCAAGCTTCAACAGCACAGAGACTGCTTCGACTATCAAAGCACCCCGGAAATAGCGGGTCGTAGGAGAGGGACAAAAATACAAAAGAAGTAGAGGAAAAATAACGATAAAAAGGACTGAGAAGAAAAAGCAGCAGTTCCCTCTTGCAGTTCAGGCACAGTTATGAGCATAACATTGATGAATCAGCCCATTTATAATTACAATTCTACTGTGCATAAGAACGTCCTGTTAATGCCCCCCCCCCCCATTGGGAATAGCTTAAAGACACTTCAGTCAGTAGTACTGCTCTGGTGGGTATATCATCATTATAATCATCATCCAGTACCAGAC